ATCGTGGCTTAAAATTAGGGATGACAGACTTCTGGCCACCGATGTTGCATAGCTCACAAAGGCTGGTAAGAATATATTTGCTGAAGATTTTGCAAATATTATCAAAAGGGCTTTACATTAAAAATGATGGGGGAGGGAGAGACCCTCAAAGTCTACTCATCCTGCCAGATACCATAGAGAGTAACTACAATGAATAGAGGAAGCGTAGAAGTTGAACTGTTCAGAAATTCACAGAAGAAAAACTGCATTCAGATCACTGCTTGGGGTAGAAGTTGTTCTTCATCCTTCATTCTCAAAGAGGACCAATGACATCACAAGGGCAATGTCTTGACTTGCATAGGATGGTGTTAACTGACAACAGAGAGAAGACAGGACAAAAATGACTAGCAGGGAGTTGATGGCCAAGATAAGGAATGTAATAGTAAGAGAGGCCCTAGCGAGTTCAAATTACCTGGTCCAGATGAGCTATCTCCGTGGGCGTTGCAAATACTGCAGGTTTGAGCGTTGAGCCACTGTCATATTTGAAAGATTATGGAAAATAGGTGAGGTCCTGTAGATCTAAAGAAGAACAAATGTTCTGGTTTTCAAAAAGAGGGAAGAAAACAGAATTTGCAAACTATAGGACTGTAACCTTGACTTCAATTGCTGGGAAAATTCTGGAATAAATCACTAAGGAGATGATTAGTGAACAAATTGAAAAGAAAATGTCAATTACCGAGAGCTATCATCTCTTCATCAAAATAGGTAATCACAGAATAACCTTATTCCTTTTTATTTTTTTGTCATGGTTATTAAAATAGTTGATTAAGGGAATGATACAGATATGATTCATGTAGATCTTAGTAACAAAAAGCATAAAGCATCTCAGTGCTTTTAATAATAATAAAGCTATTATGGTGGAAAATATGAGGAGATGTGGACTAGACAATAATACGATTAGATGGACATGGACCTGGCTGAATGGCTAACCTCAAAGAGAAGTCATTAATGGGCCCCTTGTAGAGTATCTCAGGGATCTGTATTGGGCCCAGGATGGTTATAACTTTGTTTTAATGATTTAGATAAAGGAATAATAAATGACATGCTCAGCAGAAATACGACAGCACAAAAGTCAGAGGGATATCTAATACCTAAGATGAGAGAATCTCTTCTAACTCAGATTCCAGGATTCTGAGTTTCATTTCTCCCCACCATCTTTACATACTCCAGACCATAAGAATGCACTTATAGGGTTTATCTACAGAACTCTGAGGGATTGTGTAGCTGTATCTCTTATATTAATACAAGAATTTTGAGCCACCATCCTGTGTGTTCCCCCCATATCAACTGACTTGTCAATATCTCCCCAATATCAACTTGATGTCATTATCAGTTAATTTCACCTCAATATCAGTGGACAAATTAACATCAATTAGCTTTTACCAAGGGATATTTACTAAGAAGGTGTAGCAGGAACTGAAATACAACAGCTTCTGAAACTAGGATTCCACTTTCCTTTTCTGCCTTGGTCCCTGCCTGGGGTTTAACACTAACTGAGATAGACCTTAAGCAGAGGCTGGTGTAAATATAGGATGGCCTCAAACTTAAAGTCATGACTGCTCCACCATGTGCACTTCTGTGCAGTATGGCCCAGCTGCTGGACAAGCCAGCTGGTGGCTTTTGGGGAAAGACCACTGGCATGATGCCTTTTGTAGGACTCCAGAAGGGACCCAGATAGGCCTCACCTTTCAACAAGTCACCTAGAAATATGTTTTGCATAACAGCACACATATAACCTATATCAAATTGCTTGCCTTCTCAATGAGGGAGGTAGGGAAGGAGGGAGAGAATTTGGAACTCAGTTTTAAAAATGAATGTTGAAAATGGTTTTCACATATAATTGGGGAAAAATAAAATGCTAAATAAAACAATTCACCTAGATTAACTACAGTGGCAGTAAAAACAACTTTACCACGATGAAGTACTGTACGATCACCTGGAAATGCTGCAGTTGGGGATTGGAACCCCATGACTTTGGAGTCCCAGAGTAGAATTTTGAGAAAAACAAGCACTGATCTTGGAATCAGAATTCTTGGATTTGAGTTCTAGCTTTTCTATTTATTGTGTGACCTTGGGCAAATCCCTTTACTTCTCTGGGACTTAGTTTCTATAATTGATGTGGTTTTGTTGATGATGTCATCTGAGGGCTCTATAATTCTGATATATTCTAAGGTCTCTTCAGGCTCTTATATTTTGTAACTTTGTGATTATGTATGGATAGAGAGGCTCTGACCAGCCTCCAGGGAAGGGTGTAAACACTGAGATGGGCCTTAAGCAGAGGCTGGTGTAAATATAGGCAGGAGGTTGTATAGCCTGGGGCTAGGGGGCAGCTAGTGGATAGAGTGCTGGGCCTGGAGTCAGGAAGACCTGAGTCCAAGTCTGACCTCAGACGCTTATTGGCTGTGTGATCCTGAGCAAGTCACTTAACCCTGTTTGCCTCAGTTTTCTCATCTGTAAAATGAGTTGGAGAAGGAAATGCTTTTATTATTTTTTCTTTGATCCTATCACTCTTAGGGGCAGCTAGGTAGCACAGGAGATAAAGCTCTGGTCTTGGAGTTAGGAGGACTTGAGTTCAAATATGGCCTCAGATACTTGACACTTACTAGCTGTGTGACCCTGGGCTAGTCACTTAACCCTGATTGCCTCACTCCTTCCCCCAAAATTATGATCCTATCACTCTTAAGCAAATCTCATTTTAGACTTTTGATCCCATTTCTCTTATGATTACTCTAATTATATTATCATCTATAAAAGTAGCATTTAAAAATTAATGATTATAGGGGCAGCTAGGTGGCACAGTGGATATAGCACTGGAGTTCAAATCCAGCCTCAGACTAAACACTTGACACTTACTAGCTGTGTGACCCTGGGCAAGTCACTTAACCCCAATTGCCAAAAAAACAAAACAAAACAAAATAATGATTATAAATTCTTTATTCCTTTAAGGCTTAATCAATTTTTATTTATGTCTTAGGCATATTTGAAAAAAATTGTCTAGTAAACTGTTTCAGTTCTCTCCATATACATCGTCTTTTTTTTCTAGTATTATGTTAAATTCTATAACTGCAGTTTACTCTTTTAATTTAACTTTTGTTATTAGTTGTTCAGTCATTTCAGTTGTGTCCGGCTCTTCGTTGACCCCATTTGGGGTTTTCTTGGCAAAGATACTGGAGTGGTTTGCCATTTCCTTCTCCAGCTCATTTTACAGATGAGAAACTGAGGCAAAGAGGGTTAAGTGACTTGCCTAGGGTCACACAGCTAGCAAGTGTCTGAGGCCAAATTTGAACTCATGAAGATGAGTCTTTCTGACTTCAATCTGGTGCTCCATGCATATGGTGACATCGAACTGCCCTTATTTGACTTATCACATAACAAAAGTGGGGTATTGAAATCTCTCAATATCTGTCTAGATTCTTTTGTAATTTGACTAACTTTTCCCTCTAAAATTTAGTTGTTATACAGGCACATGCATACATGCTTCTGCTAATGATTAATTTAATAATTATACAGCTTTATAGGATCAAAAGATTCTAGGGGAGAGAGAATTTTATCATTGCTATAGGGCTTACCCCACCCATGAAATCATAGGTCCAGACTAAAACAAACAGACAAACAAGTAAACAAATGGTGCAGTTGTTAATTCATTTACCTTAAATAATTTTTTTTTATGGAATTCTCTTTTATTGATTTAACACTTTAGAATTTTACCTGAGGTTCACCGCTGATTTTTGTTCCTGAGCTGATATGCATATATCAAAGGCTTAAGCCTGGCCTTTTTTTTTTCCCTTGTAAAAATGATCAGAAATGTTGTGAGGAATCAAAAATATTCATTAAAATGCTTTAATATCAGTACTGGTTTAGCTTAGGTATAGGATTCTGGGGGTGCAGTTTGATTTTTCTTTTTGAAAATTATATTCTAGTCTTTTTTTTCTCATGATGGACAAATGATCTTCTGTGGTTTGGAATTAAAGTACCTTGATGGGGACTATTTTTTCTTTTCCATTGCTTGGAAAAGCAATGCTTAACTGACGAAGTCCTGACACTTGAAAGTTCTTCATGGGTGGACACTCAGGCACTCACTTTCCTGTCCCAGGCATTACCCTGCTTGATCCTTAGAACTGTCTCCTTGGAGTGGACTGAGCCCAGCCACTTCCAGTTGCTCCCAGGCCCCACTACCAGGTTTAATCCTAGCCCCAGGCTGGCCTCTCTTCCCACCCCTCTGTTTACCCTGCTTAGCTCCTTTCTGACACTTCATTTTCTTTGCAGGTAGGTGGCCCCAAGAAAATAAGTATTTGGTAGGATAGGGAACAGAACCTTGTGAGGTGAGTATGCCTAGGAAAGAAGCCTTGGCTACAAGGGTTATAGAAGGTGAGGGGAAGGCAGTCTTTTCCTAGAGAGGGACATCCCCAAGCCTGCTCTTAGCTGAACATTCCAGGCTCAGGGGTCCTTGCCATGACTCAGAGCATTTCTTTGGTGTCTCCTGAGAACGGAAAAGTTGGGGAGGGTAATTGCTGTATCCCAATCCTTTCATCATCTCACAGGCTGGAGTTCTCTCTGAGAGTGGCCCAGGAGATTGGAAGGTTTCAGCTCTGAATATTTTTCAGCAAAGCCTGAGATCCTAGGCCATTTAGAGGAAAGGGGAAGGATAAAGTAGCAGGCATAGGTTTGCCCTTAGGGAGGGTGGGGCCAGGACCAAGGTCAGAGGCCATAGTTAAGGATGAAGGCTCAGGGTCAGGATTCTAGGGTGAGGAAATCAGAGATCAGTCTGGGATTAGGGCTAGTTCTGAGGGCAAGGGCTCAAGGCCCAAAGTCAGAGCTCAGGGCTAGAGGTAAAGTCCCAGAGACAGGGCTCAGGGGTCAAGGTCAGTGGTTAGCACTATGAGAAAACTAACTACCTCTTTCTCTCACCAACATGACGATTTTTGCTGCTGGTCCTATCACTACACCATGACCACTGTCAGGGGATTTACCAGGTAAGTGCCAAGATTGGGGGAGAGAGGTGCTGGGGGAGGGGTCAAAGGAATCACAGGAGTTTTATGTTGTGGCTTCTGTCATGTGATTTTTAGTATGTTCACATGTTTGTGTGAATAGGGGCTCCCATACAGGCATGTACATATATGAGCATGTCTGAATGAATACATGTTATGTGATTTTGTGTGATATCACTGTGAATGGGCTTGTTTAGGACATGCTAGGAACCATGGAAAAGGGGAGGTCAGGGGGGGCTGCCGGGCCTGGGAGGGGCTCTTTCCCAGGAGACAGAAGACAGGCCCATCCCTTCAGGTCCAAGAATTCTACCCTGGTTCAGAATATTTTTGTGGGGCCTCTTGGAAGCTGGAAGCCATCTGTGCTGGGAGTACAACCCAGGAACCATCTCAGAGGTGGGAGGGAGTGCCGATGTGGCAGTGACCATGGGGGGAGTGCCTTGACTACCAGAGTTAGGACCTCAGCATCAGATGGTTGGGCCCAGTAGGAGGGTTCCCAGGTATAGGCTAAGACCGTCTCAGTAGTTGGGCCAACAATGAAAATGACTCTTGGAACTTTCTTTGTTGACAACTTGAAACCATTGCTACTGCTCCTGATGCTGCCATGATTGCCAACAGCCAGCATCCCAGGTGAGTACTGAGGGCTAGGCTAGGGAGACATTGTGGGGAGCAACTTAGTTTACAAATACTCCTTCCCCCGATCTAGTTGCTATTACAGTGAAATAATAAAATCCTATTTAGGAACATAGAATGTTGAGTTAGCATAGTACTGTGGAGGAACACTGGATTTGAAGTCAGAAGATCTGGATTCAAATCCTGCATTGGTCACTTACTATCCATGTGACCCTTGGTAGTTCATTTAACCTCTCTGGGCCTTAGTTTCCTTCTCTGTAAAATGAAGGAATTGGAATAGCAATTTTGGGGTTCTCTTGATAGAATACAAATTCCTCGAGGTCAAGGACTCTTTATTATTTTATTTTTTAACCTTAGCCCCTAGCAACGTCTCTGACATATAGTAGGTGCTTAATAAATATATGTTGCTTAATTGACTGATTGACTAAATGACTTCTAAGGTCACTTCTATTGCCAAATTTGTGACCTTAGGATCATACTATATTTAAAACTAAAGGGATGCTAGAACAGAGAGCACAGAATGTCAGGGCCAGTAGGAGCCTTTGACACCATCTAGTCAAAGCAAAGGAAAATAGAATGAAATAGAATAAAACAAATAGAATAATAATTTATATAGTGCTTTAGGGTTTACAAAATACATTATATATATTATCTCTTGGAGAGCAAGGATTGTCTCTTTCCTATGTTTGTATCTCTAGTACTAACACAACGCTTGACACTTAATAAATGCTTATTGATTGACTATCTCATTACAATTTCATAGCAACTTTGTGTAGTAAAGTACCATAGGTAGTCTTATCCCTATTTGATGGGAGAGGAGACTGAGGCTGAGAGGTTAAGTGACTCACCTAGCTAGTCTCTACAGAGGGATTCCAACTAAGGTCTTTCTGACTCCAAGCCCAATAATTTGTCCAAAATTACATGTTGCCAAAATGCCTTAGAATGTCAGAGCTAAAAGAGACATTCACAATCCATTCTGCAGATGGGAAACTGAAGCCTAGAGAGGGGAATTCGAGTTAAAAAGATGATCTAGGGTAGCCCTGATAAGTGTGTATGGCCAGGGTCGGGAGAGACAGCTGCATCTGGCTGCTGCTACCAATCACTGTTTGATTGCATCCTGAACCGTCACCTCGAGTTGCTGTAATTGAGGGTCTGCTCTACCTGCAGCTGTCTGAGGGAGACCAAGTTGTTTCTCAGGGGGCTGGCATCATGGGAACTTGACATGCCCCGATAGGGGAAGCCTCGTGCAGTAGAAAGAGCATAGATTTGGAGTCAGAAGACCAAGGTTCAAATCCTGGCTTTGACACTTAACTTGTACAATATTTCATCTCTCTGGGCCTCTGTTGCATGAACTACCTTACTGAGTGAGATATAGGCTGAGTGAGACGAAAGTGTTCTAGAAACCTTAGAGCCCCAGAGAAATGAGGGTTATGATGGTGAAGATATGAGGGGGAGGTGTCATTGGAGCCCAGGATGGAAAGGCCTCCTGTTGGATTCCAAGGACCCCTCCCCAACATTTTGCCTCCTGACACTGTGTGGCTTTGCACCCAGAGATCTGTACCCTGCCCCAGTCCATTGGCAGCTGCAGGGGTTCTTTTCCTCGATACTACTACAACAAGTTTGCCCGCCGTTGTGAGCGATTCCTTTATGGGGGCTGTGGAGGCAACCGGAACAACTTCATATTTGTGGAACAATGTCAATTGGCCTGTCGGGAAAACAAGTAAGACTTTAAGTTTCCCGTCCACCCTCCCCAGCCCTAGAGTCAGGTAGGCAGGGATCCTATGGGGCAAGGGGTAAGTAGTGGCTCTGAGGCCTCAGCCCAGGATGCTGGTAGGCAGGAGTCCAGATCTAGGAAAAAGCAGAGAAGTGGATGCTCTTACTGAGCTTCCAGCCTCAACTTCATGGAATAGAAAAGAATCTGCTTTGTACTAAGTTGTTGCATGACTTTAAGGAAGTCACTTTTCTCTGTGCCTCAAAGGATTAAAATAAATGATCTCTAAGGGCTCTGAGATTCTATTTTTATGCGGTGATGTATGGAGCACACATGGGAGTGAGGAGGAGGACTGTGGCCAAAGTTAGAGAGGGGTGAAGGGGTTTTTATGAAAACTTCTGTTTATTTTCCAGATGAGCAACAAACGACATGTGCCCCAACCCAGGCTCCCTGTGTTCCTGGTCCTGTGTCTGAAGTTCCTGTCTTGCTCTTTTCCAATAAAGCCTACCTTCCCTTGAGTTCCTGAGGTGATGAGAAGTAGGAGCCAAGGCAGTAGCCAAGACCAATGAGTGTCTCCCATTCAGAGCTTTTGACCTATAGTTACCCTCTGTGCTGTGAGGTTACTGACCTTACTCCTCCAATGGCTGGCCTTTGGCTGCTTCGCTATCTCTCAATGGGTGTATCCTCTCCATTCACCAATCCTTTCTTTTGCCTTTGCAATCATAATAAATTATTACTGACCTTTCTATAGTCTTTTAAGGCTATATTATTATATTAAAAGCACTTCTCTCACAATAAAGGTAAGACCAAGGGAGGCAGAACAGTCTGGTGAAAAGAACATTAATTTAGAGTAAGAAAACCTGGACTTGCATTGAGGCTTTGCTGCTTAGGTCCTCAGGTGGTATTAGGCAAATGACTGCATCTCTAGTGGTTCCAGTTTCTGAGGATGTTGGCCTAGATGGATGATAGCAGTCCCCAAAGGTCACACCATCCTGGGCTACATTAAGGGAAGCACAGAGTCCCTAATGAAGCAAGTGATAATCCTGCAGTCTTCTGCCCTGGTCAGGCCACTTGTGGGTCACACAATTTAGGAAAGACATTGACAAACTGGAGTCCAGAAGAGAGTAAATAGAATGATGAAAGGACTCAAGACCATCCCATACATAATTGATTGAAGGAACTTAGCCAAGGGAAGGGAAGACCTGGAGAGGGGGCATAATGACTATTTTCAGTTATTTGGAGGGTCACCATGGAGAACAGGAGTAGACTTGCTCTGCTTGGCCCTGGAGGCTAGACCTAGGAACGCTGGGTACAAGTCGCAGAGAGGCTGATTTAGGTTTGATGAGATTTTTAAGAAGCTTTCTGTAACAAGGATCATCTGTAGCACCTCACTTGCCTCTCAGATGTGAATCCTCAGAAAGTTATCTCAAGGTACTTTGTGAGTGACAACCTCCAGAGTTCAGTCTAAGAAAGACAAACAGAATTAGATTGTATGAGGGCTTTATTTCTCTCAAAGCATGTAGGCATGCATATGAATGCATGAGAGCTGCAGGCCTGAACTGAGCTCAAAAAAAGGTTAGTTGAAGCAGACTACATACCCATGGAGTGAGGAAGTGTTCCCTCCTCTTTCCCTCAACTCAGCATGTCTTTTGTCAGCCAAAATTACGGTTTCTATAGAACAAGAGAGTGTCCCCAGGATGTCTGGTTTCTGTCAGCCATGAACAAGGGCACGTCATAAAACAAGAGAGTGTCATAACAAGCTAGTGTCTTAACAAGAGAGGACCGTAAAACAACAAGATTATCAAGATAGTGTCCAGTTCAAGGTGCTTGGTCTTTATCAGTCATAAACAGGAGAAAGCTCCTGGTCAGCTTAATCCAGTCTTGGGGTTGCTGACACAGCAGGAGAACTCTGGAGTCTCAAAGTATTATTGGTATGTGAGTGAGTGAGCCAAAATGTCATTTTCTGATTGGCCAGTCCAGTTTTTCAGCCTCCTTCAGGTGATGAACGGCTCAGCCTAACATCTCCTCCAAGGAAAGTACGGGGAAAACCTTACTCTTCCCCAGGAAGTGGGAAGGGGAGCTCTATAACTCTTTCTTAATTGACCAGGGGGCTGCCCTACTTCCACAACCTCCTGCAAGTGAGGTGGGTCCTGCAGACTGAAGAGGAATGACCATAGACAGCATTACTTCACTCACCAAAGTGATGGAGCATTTGTGGGCCAAAGCAAAGCCTTTTTGGTCCCCAAGTAAGATAAAGCAAGGATAGTAAGCACCCCAACAGCAGAAAGAAGAGATCTGATTAAACTGACCATCTCAGGGGAAAGGGAATTGAACACATCATACCACTGGGCCCCTGCAGCCTGCTCCCTCAGCTGGGTGGCATGAGTACAAAATGTGTTCATGCTATTCTGCATCTGTTGGGATTTACTAACATAAAAACGGCATTTCTCAAAGACACAAACACTCCCAGTCATTGGCAGAGACAAGTTGTACTGAAGTGACCCCTAGGGGGTCAATGCATAACCAACAGCTGGAGAAGTTAAACAGCCTGACCACCTCCTGGCCTAGCCTCTGCATGGGATAAATAGGGTTTGGGAAGGAGGGGTGATCTTTCCTCTGTAGCTGGGTGTTCCAGAGATGGGCAGCAACTGCCAGGTAACTACAAGCAAGCAGGAGACCAAAAAGGAGCCTGAGTTAGGGGGAATGAGGGGCATAGCAAAAGAAAATAATACAGCCAAAGCAAACTAAAACCAAAGCTAGGTAGCCAAGAGATACCAGCAAACAGCACATGGCATGCAAGGATCTGGAAAGGGGCGCTCAAGTAGGGAAGGAGCCCTTTCGCTCACAGGCCTGGTCCGGATTCTTAGAGGAGCCGTCTGCCTCAGATGTTATCCTCTTCAGGCCCTTACAAAACTGAAGGATAAGGCAAGGCTTCCAATGGGTTCAGACCTCCACTCGGAGTCAGGGCCACCTTCCCGTGATCCTGGAGTCCACACCCACAGGTTGGCAGCTGTGGGAGTAGTCAGAAGGACCTGGCAGGGGCCCTTAGAAAACATATCGGTTGACAATTGAGAAAAACCTCCTCGTATCAATCTGGATCAGAGTTTCTAGTCAGCATAACATATGTTCTTGATTAAAGGCACATAGAGATGGTCCAGTTTCTCAGCCACAGGGCTAGGTTCAAACAATAAAATAAGGTTGTTTTCACAATCCCATAATTGCATAATTACATCAAGTCAGGTACAGGGCATATCACTTAGAGGGCTCACAAGGGACTAGTTTTGAGAAGGGAGATTTATATGTCACTGAGGTAACCAAGAAAACTTAAATATAAACCACACAAAGCAATATGATCATTATTACCAATGTTAACTAACATAAAGTTTCCTCATATCCCAGTAACCTCTTCTCAATGTCCATTTAATAAGCACTTTTTGAGTCCCAGATGTCTCGTGTAGTTATCTGGTCCCTAGCTATCTCTTCTTGGACAATGGGCTTTGTTAAATTTGGCTTTCAAATTTTGAAACTTCAGAGAATTTCAGGTTATATACCATTTGTTATTTCTATCCTTACCTAAATCTTGTACCTGATATAAGAATCTTTTTTTTAATTTTGAGGGTTCAATCATAAAATAAGTTATTCTGCCTCTTAAAATTATCAGACAGATATTTTAATAATGGGAAAATAAATTTGCTTTCTTTACTATTATCCATATAAATTACATGTAAAATCCAATTTTGAGAACTTATTACCAAAACATGCTCAAAGCCTGAATTTCAATGATAGATAAATTTTGGAAGCTAATCATATGCATTTCTATATAGTTCTTGGAGAAAACAGTCTAATCCTCTTGCTTTTCTCAAAATTTACTATTCCATTTAATTAGAAAACTAACACATTACATCTTTGTCTTATTACTTTGTCTAATCATTTCCCCCTTAGGAGGATATCATCTTTATATTATTATTTGACCACAAATATACGTTAAAATTGTAAGATATTCATACTCGCATCCTATTTTAGTAACTCAGAGATGTTCTAGCATCAATCTATTATTTAATAGATTTAATACTGTATTTACAGAACTTCTTGATTATAGAAATTTGCTATGAAAGGAAAAAGAGGGAAATACTTATAACAATGTCATATATCATAATAGAGAGGAAAACTCCCTTAGCTCCATTTGATTTCAGACATGAATCATATCTGGCAGCCAGTCACATATTCACAAGGTGTTAAAAGCAAGGCTCAGGATTAACCAGGTGGGGAATTTTCCTTTTCAGAAAGGAAATAGCTCAATGGGGTAATAGAGTCAGGAGGATCCTACCTAGGCTGAACTTCCCAAGCATAGACATCTACCTCTAGCAGTTCCCAGACTGCAGCACATGCCATTTTCTGCTTTTGGCTTCATGACAATTCAGACAACTATTCCTGTAATCAAAACAATAGTAAATTACAGTCCTAAGAATTTTACCTTAAATAGCAAAATTTCACTAACCACCACTTAGGACTTGAACATCTTTCCTGATGTTTCCCTAACAGTTAACACTTCATTTGTATCCTTTACTTGTAGATTAAAACTACTCATATTCTAGCTTCAGACATACAACAAATACTTAATTGTTGACTCATAATTAATATGTTGAAACTACATCTTTAAACCAACCTCTATACATTTTCATAATAGCCAAGATTTTCAAATGAAAATTTGCTATTATAGTAAATATTATTATTACCTGTTTATAAATAAATATTTAACAGTTTTCAAATGATTTAATTTTTTATCACATCCTTTTAAAAGCACAATCCATATGCAACAAAATCCAGATTAAAAATTGCTTTGTCTAATATCATTCTGTTTTATAATGGTCTCTAAAATTTCACAATATAAGAGAATATAATACAATTTAGAAATACAATAATAACACAAACAATAAACTTCAGATGATATCAGTTGCATTTCCAGATTATCACATATAGAAATCATTGATCTTATTACCTTTGGCATTTTAAAACTACTTTAAAGTTATCTAGTATGGAACAATTGCATTAAATTAGAGAAATAATAATAATGTAGTACTTAGCATATGCCAATCACTGTTAAGCACTTTTACAATCATGATATCATTTTGATCTCACAACAACAACCATTATTATCTTTCTCTTTACAAGTCAGGAAACTGAGGCAAACACAGATAAAATAACTTGCCATAAATTATGTAGGTAATACATTTCTGCAGCTGGAGCAGAGAAGGGTGGGTTTACCAAGGGTAGACTCTGGCTGGCTCCCCCACCTCATACTGCCATGGTAGGTGTTGCCAGGGGCGGACTCTCCCAGGCAGCGGCAGCACCAGTTCCCCGGAAGGGACCTGCCAAAGGCTGGTCCTGACCTGGAGACACTGACTTACTGGGCTTTGGTGGGGGGGAGGGTGGTACAGCAGAGGGTACTGTCTAGGGGCTGGGGTGGCTGGTGTCAGCCAGTAGTTCCTGGTGGTAGGGCTCA